CCCACTTTTTCAATTAAGAAATTAAATAGGGCCCCTTTTGGACTTCTCCACTTGAGTAGGTAGCCCCAAGTAAATAGAGGGAGTATGCACCCTCCTCATTTTCAGAAATTTGGCCAAGATTCTTTGAATTTTGGGGTGCAAATTCCTACTGAAAAAAAATTTCAGACTTTGAGAATTTTACCTGTTGACCAGAGCTTTCTTCATACACCTTGATAGTGTCCAAGAGAGCCTTCCCTTCTCCTAGGTCTGCCTTAGTGAATATGTAACTATCATATGCAAAAAACAAATGAGAGACAGTTGGGCAATTCTTGGTGATGGAAATACCTGAAATTTTCTTTTGGTGCACTAGTTCTATTAGATTAGCAAAAAGGACTTCTGAACAAAACAAAAAAAGGTAAGGGGAGACCTTTGCTATGATCTTATACACTGTGTTGCACAAACTAATAGGTCTGAACTGAGAAGGGTTTTCAAAAATCTTTACTTTTGATATTAGTACAATATGGGTTTCATTAAACTCTCTTAAAATTTTGCCCGTAGCAAAAAAAAAAAAAAATTAACTGCCTTCACAATATCTCTCCTACAATTCCCCAGTACTTTTGGAAGAACAGGTTTGGAAGTCCATATGGGCCTAGTGCTTTCCTTGGGGCCATTTGGTATAAAGCATTCTTTATCTCATCATCAGTTATGCCTGATTCTAGCAGTTCTTTATCCATCTCATTCATTTTGGGCATCACGCAGTTCAGTAAACTATCATTGATTCTTAGGTGTGAGGTCTTGAAGATTTGTTGGAAATGGTTCTCAAGTTCCTGCACAACCCCCTCTTCTAAAGATTCCACATCTCCATTCGCTTTCCTGATAAAAATGATTCTATTTTTGCAGCCCCTTCCCTTTGCAATTGAATGAAAAAACCTTGTATTTTTGTCTCCACAACTCAGCCAATTCACTCTTGATTTTTGTTGCCACATAATTTCTTCTCTCTTAAGCCAGACAACTAGCTCAACTTACATGGTTTTTACTTTGGCAGCATTGAAATTTTGGCCTCACCTTTTAATTTCACTATCCAGTTGGGTCTTCAATTCCATAATTCTTTGTTGGACATTTCCAAATTTGTCATTATTTCATATTTTTAGGCTTTCCTTCAACTTTCTGCATTTGTTGCCTAGATTAAGCTGACTGGGATCAGATCTCACACAATTCCAAGAGCTTTCTAAGATATTGGGGAAAATCCTCATGGTTTGTCCACATTTATTCGAACCTAAACAGTTTCCTTCTCCCACTTCTTCAAACATTAGTATCCAATAGAACTGGAAAGTGGTCAGACCTCAAGGAGACAAGGACCCTGGCTAGATAATTGTTGAAGGTGGTAAACCAATGGTCATTGCAAACAACCCTGTCCAATCTTGCTCTAATTAAGCCATTTTGTTCTCTCCTATTTGACCAAGTAAAGAAAGGTCCTTCACTACAACTCTCTTTCAAACTACACTCCTCTAGGAATGATCTGTATTTTTGTAAAGAACATTCACTCAATATATTTCCCCCTTTTTTCTTAGAATTGTGCGGTATGAAGTTCAGATCCCCCAAACAAGCCCAAGGGCCCCTAACTAGGTCAGCCACCCTCTTCCATTTCTACAGAAAAAGCATTCTATTTGCTTTTTTTTGGCTCCCCATAAATGAAAGAACAGTGCCACAAACCTCTTTGATTATCTGAAAAACAGACATGGATTAAGTTTTTATCCACATAGCATATCCTTGCACCAATGTTTTTTTTCCAAAAAAAAAAAGTCCTAACCCACCACTCAAACGAATTGAATCAATACCCCAACAATTCCAGTCATTAAAACACTTTAGTTTTTTCTTACAGTTCAAAAGAGAAGTTTTTATTTCCATAAGGAAAACACAGTCCACTTCTAGCTTAGTCTGAGTCTCTCTCACAACTCGAATTGTCAAGGTTGACCCCAGACCCTAACAATTCCAACTTAGTAGTTACCCAGGGTCTGTTCCAAGACAAAACCCCCAACCCACTTATTGGAAATGGTAAACATAGACTCACTAACAGTAGGTTTTAGAAACCCCAGTTCAGACATAATCTTTTCTTTTCTTTTATCCTATTATCAACATCCATGTCAAAATAACCAAAATTACACCAATGCTAGATTACTAATTCTTTTTTCATTTTTCCTATTATCATTAATGTCACAGTCTGATTCCTCCATCCAATCCTCTGTCTTCCTTTGATCCTCCTAGGACTATCCATATCGAGTTTGGTCTCCACCTTGGTTGCTTCTTATTTTTTTCATTACAGGAAGGTCTTGGTCCTCTGGCTCCAGGTTCAAATCGTTCAGCTCACAAATAATCACCCCTTCATTCTTCCTTTTTCTTTGGAAACTGTAGAGAGGCCCCTCAAACCCTGCCAATTCATCTCTTAATACCCCTTTCCCTTTCTCTCTTTTTTTTCTCCAATAGCTTAACTCCACTTGTCTCGTCCCCCCTTGACTTAACACCTACCACTTCGCCAACTTCCATGTCAGTACATCCCACCAACTCACTCTGCTAATGCTAACTGACGCTGCCTGCCATCTATGTCCTTGTCCACATCACCTCCAACCTCGAGCTCCTTCCCTTTGCATGCATCAATTCTGGGTCCGTAACGTCACCATCATCCGCCTCCACCTACCTGCACCTCTTCTTCGGTGAGATGATCAGCTTGATTGTACCCTCAGGCGGGAGGAAGCCTCGCATGCAAGGATTTAGGTCCGTCGCTTCCGGGAACAACCTCCGCCTACACAAGCCAGCCTCATCGACGACATCATCTTTGCTCAGTCTATGCATGGGCGAAGGATCTGCATTCATCGGTGCTTCCTGCTCCCCCAATCCCTCTTCTCTTCCCAATGAAGCATCACTACCTTTCTCCTTTCCCCCTGCTTCAGCTCTCCAATCTTCTTCTCTAGCAAAAGAGTTTATAAACTTAAAATCACTTTTATCTGGTGAAGCCCTAAGGGAAGGCCCGAAGCTTAAGTTCCCCAGTTCCGGCCTTAAGTTTTGATTCGCCATCTGATTGGTTAGGATCTCCAAAGCTTGTAAATTTGAGATCCTCCTGCAGTTGTTTTCCTCATGGCCTATGATACCACACCTAGCAGAACTTCGGAAGTTTTTCATACTAGAAATTATACCAGATTTTTTCACCATTCTCCTTAATCTGAAAGTTGCCTATAGCTAACGGCCTCCTCACATCCATCTGTACCCAAATCCTGAAGTATCGTTCCTAGAGAGGTTCTTCACTGCCTGGTTCCTCCTCCTCCCCTTGCTCACCCTTTTCTATACTGATTGGTTCTCCAAGAATCGAAACCATTCTTGCCCCCCAATCCCAACACCTTTTCTCTACCTAGGCCTTTAGGATCCTAACAGTGATGCTCATCTCATCAAAGACTAAGCTATCCAAGGACTCATTCGGTTCCCACCTCCACAATAGGAGGGGGTAGCCATTTACCAGCCACGGCTCCTACTTCAGGAATCTCTCTAGGTCCTTCCCTTTCTTAAGCACTATCCATAATAGCTCATTCTCCAACCACTTAACTTCATAGCTGGTATCATTCCAGAAGTTTCGTATCTGCTGCAGCACTCCGTAAGTGTTCATCTTCTTGTTCGCTACCACTTTTCCAAACAAAGCTCTCTGTCATTTGCTCTGTAAGTTCCTCAATGCTCTTTCCATTTTCTTCCAAAGTAATTGCAAACTTTTGAGTGTTTTGAATTCTTCACTGTTGGGAAAAACTCTCTTCCTTAATCTTCCTCTACTCACTGCCCCCAAGGAGCATTAATGCGCACTCATGGCGCATTTACTCAGCGCTGGAGTTCCTCAACGCACTCTCTTCCTTGCTAGAGGTTGATGACAAGAGTAAAATCTCTCGGTCCTCAGAGAAAAATGTGAAGTAGACCTGGTTGGGATGTTGGGATGGATGTGTGGATTTTTTTTTATCCCATATTCAAATGGTGTTTGGAAGTGTGAACATTTTTTGGAACCGATTTAAAAATAAAATAATGTCCATGCTTACTAGACCCATTTTTCATAAAAAAAACACTTTAATATGTTTGGAAGTGTTTCTACCACGTAGGCAATGAGCAACATTATGCTATTTGGTAAGGTGATTTTCACCACCGTTTTTCATGTATATGCTGACAGGTAAGTGCCACATAGGATACACATAATCGTAAATCAGTCAACCGTTGGAGGCAACGGTTCGCCGAATCATGAAACGCCAAATTTGACGTTTTCATGCAACGATTGGATCCTGATTTAGGAGGCATGCCCATTTTTCAACGTTTTTTCAAAAAACACTTGAACCAAACAATCATGTATGTGGGCATTTGTGGAATCACCTACGTGAATCGAACATGACACCGTTTTTCGAAAAAACGGCCACGCTTCCAAACATCCCCTCGATGTTCGATGGATCTCAGGTCAGCCTCACCTCCACTCCACCTAACTTTTGCACAAAGGAGACTTGGAAGGGTGAGTGAGACCCTTGCCATTTTTTTAACCAAGCTGCTCAGAAGTCAGATCGTTGAAATAGGGCCTTAGTTCAGTTAATGTATAGCTAGCTAGCTAGTACAATAAGGGGCGCCCTATGGGCTTGTCATTGTGGGCCAGGGTTATGAAAGCCACATCGGCCACAACCATTACTGGCCGTGATCGTATTTCCGATATTAAATGTTTAATTTAATAATAATCACGTGTTGCTAAGGCAGTATTTGGTTGCACCGGTACAAACACATGGGAGTGTAAATAAAAAAAAATGTAAATTTTTATTTAATTTTGTTTTGGATTTTTCATGTCTTAATTTATTTCATTTGTACTGCAATTAAACAAAAAAACTAAAATTTGGAACAAAAATTGATCAGAATTTACACTTAAATCATTTGCACTGTTACAGTTTCGTATTAATGCAAACAAAGTTGTGTTGAATTGTTTTGACTGTGTTGAGAGAGCTAACTTTACTCGGCGCTTGAAATTGAAGGAATTAAAGCATTAATCATTGAACTGGAAACAATTGCAAAAGCGAAATAATGAGCTAATATACACTGCCCCCAGGCCCATCAGACAAAAGCTAATTACACGATTCATGAATGCAGCTGGAGTTTTTCCAATTTCCACTCTAAGCTACCAGGTTCGTTCTCTTGCTAGTTTATAGGTGGGAGGCTGGGAGCTGGGATTTCCTAGTCAAACTTCCACTTCATGACTTGGGTTTTCAGCGCTTTTATTCACTCGACGAAGAATACTTACAAGTCCAGTACTTCTCGATTTCTTCTGCCGTCCTTCCGGGGATTCTCCCGGCTATCAGAGACCACCTGATGAACATAAAATCAGACTACAACCAAATAAGCACTACTTGGCAACATAAACAGTAGAAAGCCTCAACAATAACAATTACAATTTACAAACCTCTCTCCGACCAAATTGAACATCCTAGAAATCAGTGTTTCCTCATCTTCTGAGAACTCCAGCTTCGAATCCCGGCTTATTACATCTGGCTCTAAAAACAATACAGCTCAAGGTTACTATACCACTTAGAGGAAAAACATAGAGATAGACACTCTCTCTCTCTGAACTCGGTAATGTTAAATAATGCCCCCTAGATCCTAATATTTTAAAATTGGGTGGTAATACCTGTGAAGTCTTGGGAAGAGTCATCCGAGGAATGCTGGAAGTCGCCCATTTTCAATAGCCTACTACTTTGTTGAGTGAAGAAATCAGGACAAGTGTCAAAAACAAAAGCTCCATCATCCGTATTTATAGACAGTAGTAGGGAGTCACCGAAACGCCTAATTCATCAATGGGCGAATAGTAGTGAAGGAAGAAGACCGGTAGTTCGAGCTCGGCCCCCTTTTGATAGGTGGTTGACGAACAAATTTGTTGGGATCGGCCCCCGTGTACTGTGTACAAAAGACTGATCCATGCGTCAGGGGGGAAGTAAGTAGTACTCTCCCGTTATTTATTATTCACTGCGGATTCTGTCACTTGCATCTTTGGTTCTCTAATTAATATTATGTCTGTTTGTGCCACCAAACAGTATGGCAAGTTGTCTTATACTTAGCACTGTATGATGTTGGTGTACATAATATATGGCTGAACCCAATAGAAGCCTACATAAGGGTGTGAATCGCATTCCGAATTTGATATCCGACGAATTCGAATTCGAATCAGTGTTGATCCGATTGGATTAAAATTCGAATTTGGTTATTTAATATATATTAAATGATGTCCCTCATTAAAAAAGCTGATAAATGATGTCACCTACACCTACCTACTCGAGTGCTTCCTCCCCCACCCCCCGTCTTTTCTATTCGCCCTTTTCTTCTCTTCTTCTCTCTCCCTCCTTTTTTTTCATTTCCAATCTTTGCAACTTATCAACGCCGATGGCAGCATCAGTGATAGTTGCCGCCGTCAATCCCCTGCCTCTTTTTTCAAGCTAATTACTTGTTTTCCTTTCTAAAATCAGTCATTTAAGATTATAGGCCTGGTCGAATTCAAATTGATTCGAATATTCGATTTAATAATAGAATTTGAATTTGAATTAAAACATTTGATATTGGTCCGGATATCGAATCAAATTCGAATAATGTCTTTTATAATCGATTTCAAATTCAAATCTAGCCTGATTCGATTCAAATTCTATCCATTTACAGGCCTAGCCATACAGTCAATCTAGCTACTGCTATACATTAATAGCGCATAGATGACAATTTGACCTATCCCCTTAGGACTGATTGGACCTAGGTGGGGTTTTGTTGACCGCATATGGGTTCGGAGTGGATTTGGGAAACCCGAGACTCTGGGAATCAGAGACGGGGTGGTGATGGTTTTTGTCCACCCCGTCCTGACCCGGCCCTAAACTAACTCGACTATAATATAATATAACATATATTAACAATTATATATATTATAGTGTATTATTTATATTATATATTATATGCTATATTATAGATTTACAATATATTATTATACATTATATTATATAAAATAGTTTTAGGTAGGTTTAAAAAATTAATAAATTTACAAGTATATAAGTAAGAATAATAACTAAAGTAGGGAGGGGCAAATTCAGGGATCCCCATTTCCCGTGGTGAAGGAGATGGGGTTAAGATTTCTAGCCCCGTTGGGGATTGGGGCAGAACATTTGATTTCAGGGTCGAGGACGGGGGCATGCAAAACCTAGCTCCACCCGACCTTGTTGCCATTCCAAATCAATAATGATGTTCTTCAAAACGTTTTCGCCCTCTAAGCGCTATGCAGATGTTTTGTCCAATTCCTCACTTTTCCATGCTTAATTGAGCATTCATTTTAACTAGGGGTGGAACTTGGGTGGGCCCAACCTGAGTCCGAACCGATTCAGTCCAAAATTTTACACAAAGTGGGCTTGGATTTTTGGTCCTCAGGTTGGGTTTGGGCCCAATAATTTGGTTTTTTTTTTTTTTAATTTTTCAAGCTGGGGCCCAAGCCTAGCCTGAACCCAACCTGAGTCCAATCCAATTTTATCCCAACCTGAGCCTAGCCCGACTATACACATCCATACATAAATATATAGATATGTATTTACATATATATATATTTGTATACTGTACATCTCATTGACCAACCCAAGCCCAGTCTGTTACCGAACCCAACCCGAATGCATCAAATTACATTGCAAACTGGGTTCGAGTTAAAAAGATCAGGCTTGACCTTGGGCTTGGTCCAAGATTGGGCCTTAGGCCCAAATGTTAGGGTTGGGCCTAGGTTGACCATTACCTAACCCACTTGACTTGCTCCCCTAGTTTTAAGCAACACAGGATGCCTCTAGTTGTATGTGAGTCACTTTTAGAAAAGTAGGGATGGCAATTTTTACCATACCCAGTGGGTACCAACCCCAATGGGATGGGTTTTTTCACTTAAAGGAAGGTTTTTGGGGGTGGGGATGGGTTTTAGGATTCTACAACCCCATACAGGTATGGGCAGGGTATAGTATTAGGCTAAGCCCGCCCCTCCCAAACCCACAAATTATTGGAAAGCATATAAACTTTATGTATTATGTGTTGAGTTTAATAATATTTTGAATTTTATGTGAAAATAATTGATAGTTTATGTATTTTTTACATATCTTAATCAATTAATTGAAAATTCTGTTATTTGTTTGTGTTATTTTACTTATTATTTATATATAATAATAAATAATAGGAAAATAGATGTGGGTTCTAAACCCACCACGCCCTACCCTTGAATTTGTGGAGAGGGTTTGAATTCTCAAAATCCAACCTGCTACAAGTTTTGGGGCGGGTATGAGTTGGGAGGTTTAGGGAGGCAGGTAGGGTTTAGAATTTACAAAACCTTCCCCGAGCCTGCCCCATTGCCATCTTACAAAAAAAAAACGATAATTTAATATTTCTTGCAATGAAAATAATGTTTTCTTCTTTTCTTTTTAAGGTATGTATAAAACTAGAAATTACTTTATAAAATAGCAATAATACCAAACACCACCAATATAAGAAAACCACGCTAAACATAATGCCCAATCATCCTAACCACCAAAGCATTGATTTAGCACCACGAATTCATTTTTTCTGCAACAGTGTCATAGTTCAAGACTAAAACTGAGAATCATAGCCTTAGATGTATTATTGTGGCCAATTAAAAACGTTACTTCGTCTAATTCAAGGTAGGCTCATACCAATACATCAAAGACTTTGATTTTGTTGTTTCAGCATTGTGCTAAGACACTGTCATAGCAAATGTGATTTATGTAAACAAGGTCTCTAGTCAACCAGCCACTTAGATAAGTGGTGGAGGATGACTAAAACTGATTTTGTTGTTTCAGCATGGGCTGGGCAGCCCAATGGGCCAGCTCGTCCCAGCTAGTTCTAAATTGGGCATAGACATAAATTTAAGCCCGCTGGTTTGAGTTCGGGCCCAAAACACCATGCCCAATTTTTTCAGGCCAAGTTCAGGCTTTCTCAAAAAAACTGATCTAGAGCCTGAGCCCAACCTAATAATATATTATATAACAAAAAAATATATTTTATATAATAAAATATATATAATATGTTTTTTTTTTTTTTGTTTTGTTCATCTTCTCTTTTTTCAAGTCATAGTGATCATTCATTATTTTTTGGGTTTTGAGGATTTTTAATATAAGCAAATCAGTTTTTTACTGAATAAAAAAGAAAAATATTTTTCCCAATATTCTAGCTAGGCTTCAAGCTCAAGCTTGAATGAGGGCTCAAGACCTAGGCCTGATGGTCAAGAGCTTAAGCCCAAGCACGAGCCCGACCTAACAATATATTATATAACAATTAACAAAAAATGTATTTTATATAATATGTTCTTTTCGTTGTTTCGCTTCTCTTTTTTTTCAAATCATAGTAAGATTTTTCATTATTTTAGGGTTTTTAGTTCATTGAATAAAAAAGCAAAAAATAAAATATTTTTTTTTTCCAATTTTCTATCCAGGCCTTGGGCTCAAGCCCGAATTTTGGGCTTTATATGAAGGTCAGGCTTAGGCTCAAGACCTAGGCTCAATGGTCGGATCAAGCTCGAGCTTGGACTTGAATGTGTCTTGTTAATATAGAGACAAAGCCCAGCCCAGCCCAACTGATGAACAAGGTCTACTCATATCAAGGAGAACGACAATACAACATCCCTTCTATCTTTACAAAGTCCATAAATGGATATTTTGGTCATTTGCACATGGATTAGGGCATTCATGTTGTAATCCTTAGTACATTAGAGATGGAATTCCCAATATACAATCATATGCCATGCTTGCATATATTCGTACGCTTTTTGCTTTCACCAAATCTAAGTTCTATAAATTGATTCAAGATTTGCTACCCATACGATACTATAACCCTACATTGAGAACATTTTCCCATAAATGACAACATACAAGCAAGTACAAGAGATGTTCCCAATGTGTAATTACTACTCTTAGACCCCATTCGCTTTTCGGTAAGTTACTTACCCATGTTCTTTTATTTCTCATGTAAATAAGGCAATGACCATTTTAGCCATAAAAATCCATTATTAAAAAGGGCATTTTTGTCCCATTCAAGTGTTGGCAACTTTCCCGCTAGGTAGAAAAGTTATTTATCCACCTAAGAGATGGATATCACTTACCCAGAAAAATAAACTTTTCCTAATCTCCACATAAATCTGAAAAAAGAACATGGGATTTTTGGTCAATGGGAACCGAAATCCCATTGACCAACTTTGCCCCCTCTCAAAATCCGAAAAAAAAAACTGCCCCCTTAGGAGTAAGTATGAGCAACAGATCCAAGCTAATTCTATAAATGCAAAGGGGTCTATTGCCAACAAAAAACATGCTTATACACTAACATCATAACTTCTATCCACACATCAAGAACATCTCCCCGTAAATGTAACATGTAAGTATAGGAGCGTTCACAATGTGCAATTGGATCCCGTGCTAACATGATTTTTATTAGCAACAGATCTAGACCCTACAAATTGAGAAATAGTGAATTTTGCAAAGATGCTCTTCCAATATATATATATTTTTTAAATTAAGATTGAAGTACTTAAAATCCTTCTCAGATTTCCCTCTCCCTTGTTTCCTCCCCCCAAGCCTTACCAACAAAGAAAGAGCCGCTGCAACTATGAACCGCCGCAATTACAACCAATGATTAGAGATTTCAAGCATATTTTCATCTCCTGTTTTAACCTATCTACTTCCATCCTTTCTTTTCTTTCAAATATGCAGTTGAAGTTTTATTTCCACCCCCTTCCCCACAAAAAGACGCAAACTCAAAAACACACCAGAACAAAGTGTCTTGTGGACCACAATTTTCAGTCAACTCAACTCAATAGTCTTATTCCAAATACGTGGGGTTGGCTACAAAATACTTGAGAGAACGAATAAGTGCAACATGCACAAACGCTCAGTTTGCAAAGAGTATAAATATGTATAGTACAAATACATATAAAATAATATAAAATACAAGGTTTTGCACTGTATTTATACCATGGTTTTCAAAACTGGACTGGGTCGGACCGGACAGTCAGATTGGAAAAACCGGGAACCGGTCACATGATCGGTTCTGTTTTTCCCCAAAACCGTTTTTTCTCTAAAATTATTGATTTTAGTCAGTAAACCGTTGAACCGGCCGATTAACTATTCAAACCATTCAAACGGTTTTAACCATTTTTTAACTTTTTTTATTTTTTTTATCAGAATGGGCCAACCTTTTGACCCAGTAACCGGACCCCTGACCGATTCAATCACCGGGTCAGTTTTAAAAACCATGATTTATACTCCTTCCAAACTGAGCCTAAAGAACAAAATCTCCCCTCAGCTTAAAACTGTTTTCATGGTACATTGAATGGTTCACGGAGGCTGGATTTAAAGATGTTCAACTGAAAAGGGTGATTGTTCCTTCCATGCAGCTTCTCCATTTTGACAACTGGGCTTGGCATTAAGATTTTATATCAGCGTTAGCATTCACTTGGGAGTTGTTGATCTACTGGATTTAATCTTTAGGTTTAGATAATTCATAAATACTGAGTGAATTTTCACAAAGTTATGAAGTGTCAAATCTAAGACAGAGGAACATGATGTCATTAAGACTAAAAACATCGACCGTAAGATGATATTTGATGCACCTAAAATAATGCTAAACCAATGGTAACCATGACAAATTTCTAATGGACTCAAAGGACACTATTGTGCATGTGTTTGCCTTGGTTTTACATGGTATTTGGATTTACTTATTTTAGGGAGGTGTTCACAGTCAACTGAATTTGAGTGGAACTTAACATTTAGTTATGCTCATGCATAATTTGAGAGAAATAGAGTAAATGAAGGTGGTGTGTCAAAGAAAGTCACCGGAGAGAGACAAGTTGGGATTGCATTAGCGTGGAAGTTGTAGTTGTAGAGAGAGTGATGTTGTTCGATTTGAGGTATTTTAAATCGAGGATACAATTAAATAATTCTGTCAATTGGATGAAACCGAGGCAGAAGGACCAAGTTGCACACTAGCATCTGCAACTAAGAGAAATGTCAGAGGCCCGAAGAGTTATTCCTCGGGTAGGCCAGCTCATCCATCATCCGAACACCACTCCCCCAGTTCTGAAGTCGAGGAGTGTGGTACTCAGTCATGACTAGGCACGGAAGAGTTCTGCGGTTTTTGGTTGAGGAACTCTAATGTCTTAAGGTTGACTAGCCTCGTGTCAGGCTGGTTCGTTGGGAGGACTAGCCAGTTTGACGCTCGAACCATTTCTAAGGCGAGTCAGCAAATGCATCATTTCGCCTTCCCAAGGTCACATGCGTGCGAAGGGCAATGTTGAATCGGCGCCATTGATTAGGATTGATCTAGGCCGTTGGCCTCTTTTATAAAAGGGGAGGTGGTGAGCCATTTCACTTTGTCATTCTGAGTGAGTGATCTTAGGAGTTCGGCATGAAATAGTCCTTAGCTAGTGCTTCAGCTGTTCTGTAGTGTAGTCTCTTCATCTCTTCGGTTAGATGTCTTCATCTTCCTCGTCTTCTTGTTCCTCTAGTTCTTGCTCGTCGAGTGGTGAGTCCAAGTTGGGGTCTCATCTTGAGACTATTACACTTGTGGTCTGTGAGACTGATGGCCACGGGGCCAAGGTCCAAGGGCCTGAAGGTGAGGGTGTTGTGGTGGAGGAGGCCACGGTCTTTCGAGAGGCCGAGGTCGATGACGCCGAAGTGGAGGTTGTGTCGGATGAGGGGCCCAACACCCCTGTGCGGCTCGGTAGACGCTTCATGTCTTCCCCTTGTAAACTGACTCCTAGGGACTTGGCTCGAATTAGGGCCCTTTATTGTGTTCCCAGGGAGTATGAGCTGAGGTGCCCGGGTATTGGTGAGAGAGCTACTTCAGTTCAGCCGGGTGAGCTCTACATATATGAGCACAACCTAATAGCCAAGTTGAGGTTTCCTTTAAGTGAGGGCATTGTTGTGGTGCTGAGGTGGTACCGTGTTCAATTGGTTCAGTTGATGCCTAACTCCTTTAATTAGGTACTTAGTTAGTCTTCTCTGCTATTGCTCGGTTCATGACGTGGACGTCACCTTGCCAATGCTTACATACTTTCTGCACTTGAAGAAGCACCACCAGGGTTATTACTATTTCTAGTCTCGGCAGCATAACAAGGTGCTCGTCGGGGCCACCTCCTTGGTGAAACATTGGAAGGAGGGGTTCTTCTTTGTATGCTGCTCGGGGGGCTGGCTGTTCCCCACCGAGCTATCAATCCCGATGACAAAGGTGAAAGCACCAACCGAGGCCGAACTGTCTAGGGAGGAGTTAGCGGCCATCAGGCGGATAGAGAGAATTGATGTGCAAGAATACACATTGTTCTCAATGTTGGTCCATGTCGGGCTGATGGAACCCCTGCTTGGTTTGTTCTTTTCTTTTGTAAGTGTTTCTTATTGCTTCACTTCTTCGGCTTTGACTGATTTGCCTCTCTCTCTTTCTTTTTTACAGATATGACGGTCGTGAATGAGGAGAGGACCAGGCGTATCCAAGTCGCTGCGCACAGAAGTAAAGTAAATGAAGGTAGTGTGTCAAAGAAAGTCAGGGAAGAGAGACAAGTTGGGATTGCAGTAGCGTTGGAAGTTGCATGGCAGAGAGAGAGAGAGAGCAGAGAGAGCAGCTCCTTCTTCGTGAGATATGGGCGTTGGCTGAAGAGTGAGGAGCTCGAGAGGAGAGCTGGGTGGGTGCAGAGCATGCGAGTTATTAAGGTTCAGTTTGGAAATAATACAAATACAAATATATGCATTACAAATACCTATATACAAAATAATATAAAATACAAGGTTTTGTACTCTATTTGTAATCCTTCCAAACCGAGCCTAATTCCTGAAATCCGCCACAAAGAATGACCATATGAGTTAGACAAAAGGAGACTGAGAACATAACATGACAATTCCTGAAATTTTCTTTTTAATTGTATTCTTTTCAACAATAGAGTTCAGTGCTTCATTACATCCCATTGTAAGAGTATCTTCACAAATGGATACACTCACTCAACCCCATCCAACAATAAGTGAAAAACGAAAAAAAAATGCCAAACACAAACTGAAACTGGCGCATACAACAATAATATATTTTGCTTAATTCATCATATAATAAATAGGGAGTCGGGCTCTCAGAAACCATGTATTTTGATATGCTCCTTCTTCACAATCCCGGCCTTTACAAGGAAATTGGACACGTTCTTTCGTTGATCCCCTTGAAGTTGAATGACCTGTCAGAAGTCAGAACAGAACAACACACAACATTCTGTTAATTACAAATTTCTGATTTCTCTTTGGTTCAATTGAAAGTAGAAAAAACAAAAGGGAAACTTAGTTTGGGCTTAAGTAGTAGCTACTAGCTAGAGCTAGAGCATATATTAATGTATATACCTTGCCCCCCAATTCTTCATCAGGCACAATTGTACCATTGCAGCAAAACTCCTTCTTGAGATTCTTGAGGATCTTTTCGTAGCTGAATTCCTTCTTCAGCCCCTGCACCGTTGTCAAGCATTTCTTTCCATTCCTTTGCTGTATGCGGATGTGTACATACTCTTTCACCCCAGGGACTCCTGAGTCCTTAGCCTCAGCAAATGGATCTGCACCCAACACCAAACACAACCCAATTGACTACAATATTAAACTCCTTGAGTTCAGGGCATTCCATGAACAAAATATTATTCAACCCTAAAGGTAGGTGGTAGATGAAGTGGCGTACCAAAAGCAGAAGGAATCTGGACGTCTAGTTCAACCATGTAATTCGACTGAATCAAGATTAATTAGTCGTTTGCTGATAAAAGCACGAAGGAGAGAAACAGAAGGGGAGTCAGCAAAACCCCATTTAATACAAAAGAGAATAAGCACATGTTGAAAGATATTTGACGAAAAAAAAACAGAGATATCATAGCTTAAGAAAAGATAAACAGATCACAACATCTATGCTTCAACAGAAAACTACTTTCTACCAAACAAAAGTCAAAATCATATGAACATATAATTAACTGAGTACCAGTGTAATGGAGATATTACGACCTCTGGTAATAAGACCTAAAAAATGGAAAAAAGAAGAAGGGAAAAGCACCTATTAACTAATTAAGTCCCGGGTACCCTCGATCAGCGTTAACCTGATCAAAAAATGCAATAGACCAAAATAATATAATGACGAGACGAATGAAGCTTAGCCCCTCCACAAGAAGGAATAATCAAATGAAACTAGACAAGATATATATAGAGCTGACGATCCAAACATAAAGCAGGTAGTAACAAACTAACAATGACAGGCAATTAATTAAAACTTGATATTGATTTTAATTCTACTCATATAAATCAAACGATAACTAACTTAAGCATCCAAAAACTTAACAGAAACAACCAGAAATATAACAACATAAGAACTCTAAGACAGGGTATTCTATCAAAAACAGAATACGTCTGTTTAGAATTAGAGAACCTGAGAACTCGATTAGACAGGGAAGAAGAGAAAAAGTGATGAGGTAAGAAGTTGCTACCAGACTCAAGAAAATAGAAGAATTCTTGCACTCTGATTGTCTGATTTGTTGAATTGAGCTCGAGACCTATTTATAGAGTTTTCTCCAAATCCTATACAAACAACATAACCCGGTTGTTATTGGATGGTTCTGATTAAGTATTGAGTGGTCATGAACGATGACTACACGTTGGAGAGGTATCTTGCCTTGTTTTCCGTCATTAAGTCGTGCTTTAGAGCGTAAGTTCCACGCACCTTTTCTCCTATACTATGGCTGCTTAGAAAATAGGCTGTCAATGGGTCGGGTCTGGTCAGGTCCAAGTAGAATCAGAATCGACCCAACAATAAACATTAAGGAGTTGGAACCTAATCAGACCAGGCCGATAGGGCCTGTAATTTTATATTTAGAGCCAAACCAATCGGTTCTTGGGACAATCAGACTTGGTTTGATGGACCCAATTATAATAAACCTAGTGAAAATATTATTAAGGTTTGGTCTGAATTGATTTAGGACTGGGTAAAACCAGTTTCAAACTGATAATAACCAGGATAACATATCAGGAATCAGAACCGACTCAATCAATTCAGGCCCATCGGGTCAAACTCAACCCATTTACAGCCCTAAATAGAAGGGCAAATCCCTTAAACTACCCCATCATTATAAGAAATGGAGTAAAACTTTCCTTTGGAAAGATTTCGAATTAGCCCAATGCATAAGTTGTGGAGCCAATTGTGTAACCAATGATGAATGAAGTTTTGTTTGCCAATCATTTCTAATCCTCTAAGATAAAAGGTAGAAAAATGAACCCTACAAGAAACCATTAAAACTTCTTCTAATGATCCAATCCTCTGTTTTCCACACCTGTCTTGCTGTTGTAATAGTGATAATAATGACAACCATAATTAGAAGCTAAGATCTATTCATTTTGTTTGGAGATGCTCCAATCGGTCTTGACTCTTGAGCTTCACTCACATCAGCCCCCACCTTATCTTGTTGATTGTAAGAAATTTGGGACGAGATTGAGAAATGATTCGAGGATACGAGGATTGAAGAGGAAAGCATGAAATAGAAAGAAAGCTGGAAAGAGAAGGAAAAGAAGAAGAGAAATGAGAAAGAAAATGTAATTAACAGCAAGAATGCTAGTAACATCAAGAATTCTAGTGAGAGCAGAGAATACAAGTGGTAATGAATGGCAATGGTGATTGGTGAGAACACAGTCTCTGTTGAACATTTCAATTTGTTGGATTAAATTTTATTTTGAAAATTTGAAGAATATCGAGGACAAAATCAATATTTAGTTGCTTACATTAACATTTTATGGCAATGTCAATTGTAAAAAATCTAGGGATAATTTAAGAGAGAATATACAAATAGTAGATATAATTTTAATCTATTTCCTAAAGCTTAAGGATAATTTAAGAGATTTCCCAAAAATAAAAAGTAAGAAGTATAAAACGTAGAGAGTAGAGATTAGAGCAGTGTTTTTAAACCGTCGTTTACAAAACCGGTTCCATATTACCTTTAACCCGGTCCTTGGCCAAAAACCATTGACTTAGCGATCTGCTGATTCAAACATGCGATTGAACCATCAACCTGTTTGACCCATTCAATGGTTTTGAGTTTTGACTGTTTTTATTTTGATTTTTTTAAGTTGAAATGGACCATCCATCCAAACTAGATGATCGAACCATCGACCCGAAAACCAATGGCTAGAACAATTCCAGTTCTTGATTAATTTTTAAAACTTTGGATTAGAGAGCGGCCCAAACATCAACTAGCCCATTGGGAAGAGGATCCCACCAACTTTAAGAATGTGCATTTTTTTATTTGATAGATCAATGTACAGATTTTTTTTATGCAATGAATTGCATCCCGTTGATGGGAAGAGTCCATATTGTCTTTGAATGGTGAAGAACTAAAGATAAGAGATACAGAAGTATCTATCGACAATTGTTATCGTTGTAAAAGTGGAAGCATGGGAGTGGAACTAGAAGGTATGGGTTTTCATGGTTTGGTTAACCGAATCATAGGCATTTTTTTAAATCGAACCGGTCCTACCTGTTTTTTTATTTATTTGAACCAAAATCGAATTGGTACCACCGATTAATCGGTTGATCGGTTTTAATTTTTATGTTTATAATATATTATATAAATATCTACGTATAATATTATATTATAAATAATAAATGATGTATAATATATTATAAATACTATAAATATATATAATACATTATATATTATAAATATAATATATATTATTTATATAATATATTTAATATGATATATATTAAAAATATATATAATTAACATATGAATATATATAACGACCAGTTCAGTTAACTGCCAATTTTTTTTCTAGGTTAACCAAAAACCTAATCAGTCTTTTAATTTTTTAAAAATACCAAACCAGTCCTTCAGTTTTTCAAAAATACCGAACTGATCGATTCAATTAACTGCATTTTCTGGTTCAATTTGGTTTGATTCGATTTTTCAGTTTTTTATGAATACCCCTAGTAATAAATGAATTGATTTCTCCTTCAATAGTCAATACATGTTCATGGGTTCACTCTAGAGCAAAATTGACTCCCACTTCTTACAGCAAGCAACAATGTCAATGCTTATGCTGCTTCCCGTGAAATAGAAAACAAGAATGCCCTTAGGATTTTTTATAATGTTTTTGGTTTCATGGGGACTACACAAAGGTTCAAAATATTGATACAGTCCAATAGACCAGTTGGAGCGTATTGGACTGTATCGAGTCTCGCTTGTATTTTTTTAGTTTTTATTTCAACATGATTCAAAGGGGTTGATTTAAGGCCCCGTCCCCTGAACCAAGTCAGATATCGAAACACCCACTGTAGGAACATATTGGGAGGCCACCAATGCAATACGTATCGACTGATATAGCCTGATACATATCAAAATTTTGGTCCAATGGGGTAGCCCATCCCCCATCCCCTTAATCCCCTAACCCTGGTGGCAGCAAGACTTGATCAAAGGGGTTGATTTAAGGCCCGTCTCCTGAATCAAGTCAGATCCCGAAACACCCACTATAGGAACGTATTGAAAGGCCACCAATGCGATACGTATCAGATGATATAGCCTGATACGTATCAAAATTTTGGTCCAATGGGATAACCCATCCCCCATCCCCTTAATCCCCCAACCCTAGTGGCAGCAAGACTTGATCCCAAGTCTCTGCTACAACATGTCAAAGATCCTTACCAATTGAGCCATGTAATGCCCTTAAGATTTAAGAAACGTTATTTTGACATTGTTCCAAATTCCAACATTTCTTGTGGGTGTTGAGAACCTAATGCAAAATGTTGTTTTCCCATTTCAATTCAATTTCTTTTCTACCAAATAGGTTCTTTTGAGCGTTGAAGTTATTTATCACAAAAAAAGGTTAAAGTGGGATTGCCCCTTCTACATGTAATTAAGACCGAAATACAACACCACCATGGTGTTTTCACATTGACCTTGACCCTGAAGTCAGTTAGGACAACCAAAGGCAGCACATGTCTTACCTTTGATTTGTGAAATTCTCAATCGTCCCTAATTAGGCGGGAAATAGAAATTATGTTGTGCTCTAAGGGTGCAAGTTAGACTTGGTTGAGGTCAATCCTAAGTTCAAAATATCACCGCATATCATAGTTCATCCCTTTTAGGGTGCAACATTAGCAGGTTAGGTTTGCGATTTTGTCAAATTTTCAATGGGCCCAACCCAAAATAGTGTAAACTGTTAACTCGGGCCAACCCAATAAGGGTGGATTCGAGCCAAGCCAAACTTAATATCTAGCTATTCGAACTTGGTTCACCAATAAAGTATGAGGCTCGAGCTCAAACTCGATACGAGCTAGAGACTTGAGCTTGAATTTAGCTCGAGTCAAAAGCTCATAAGTTCAAGCTCAGTTTGGTTTGAGCTTGACTATGAGTCAAATGTTTTATAAAAATAAAAAATTATACATATAAAAAAATATTTTTATTTGACATACAAAAATTAAGAATTATAAAAACTAGTTATTATTATTATATATAAATAATAAAATATTATATATATAACATTTTTTTGTATATATTTATATATATTATTTTCTTTATGTATAATATTTTTATATTTATTATTTTTTATATGTATGTTTTAAGAACTTTTAATTAAAGAGGGTCACTCCATATTCAAATAAGCAATCATTTCAAATTAGAAGATTGTAATAGATCTTTTCCAAATGAATCCTAGGAAGGCCCTAGGTCCAAATGGACACCTTAACTTGTTTTTCCAAAAGTATTGGGGTATAGTAGGTGCTGATATTAGAGCCTCAATAAAGCAAATTTTCACTAAAAACTATTGAGGGATTTGAATCAAGCTTTCATAGCTTTAATCCCAAAAGTTGACCATCCAGAAGAACTTGACCAATTTAAGCCAATCAATCTATGCAATACAATGTACAAGATAATAGCAAAAATTTTTAGCAAATAAACTAAAACCAAAGTTGTCAAAAATAATATCTCCAAATCAAAGTGCCTTCCTAGAAGGAAGGTGTATTGGGGACAATGTTTTGATAGCTCATGAAATTTTTCATCATATGAAAAAAATAAAAATGAAGAAAGTATAATGGCTATCAAATTGGATATGAGCAAGGCATTTGATAGGATAGAATGGGATTTTCTCAAGATGGGTAATATAAAATCTAGGTTTTGGGAAGAAATGGATAAGCTGGATCATGGAATGTGTGACTTTTATGCTCCTTTTGTGCTATGATCTTCTATCAGCTATGATTAACAGGATGGTTGAATCAAAACAAGTGTTAGGTGTTAAACTCGATTGCTCTTGTCCAACCATGCATATCCCATTTGTTTTTTTTTGCAGATGATCGATACATCTTTACAAAGGCTGACTTGGGTGAAGGGCAATGAATTTTGGATTTTCTCAAGGATTTCAAAGAGGCTTCAGGCCAACAGGTGAATTTAAACAAATCTGAATGTACTTTTAGTTCAAATGTTTACCATAGAATCTAGAATATGGTTGCCTGGAGTATGCACCTTAAACATGTTTTGAAATCCTCAGTCTATTTGGGCCTCCCATCTCATTTTTGTAGATATAAGATCTAAACGTTTAACTACATCTCTAACAAGATTGAGAAAAAACCTTGGGTTGGAAAGGCAAACTGCTTAACCATAATGGTAAGGAAGTTGATGTAAAAGTTGTATTGAACGCTATTCCAACTTACAGCATGTCATGTTTCTTATTGCCAATGAATATCTGTGAAAGAATTAGTTTCAGAGATCTTTTTGGTGGGGTAAAGAAGGAAATAAGAAGGGAATCCCATGGCTGAAGTGGGAACAACTGAGTAAAAATAAATCAAATGGAGGTATGGATTTCCGTGATCCTAGCTGTCTTAACAAGGCTCTCTCAGCAAAATTGGCATGGAGATTAGCAAATGGTGAGGACAGCTTGTGAGAAAGGTAATAAAGTCAAAATATATAAAGAACAAATCTTTCCTAATTGATAAATTCATTGGTTGTAGGTCTTGGGGATGGAGGAGCATCCTCAAAGAGAGAGAGAGAGAGAGAGAGAGAGAGGGAGAAGTTATTTCAGAAGATCTATGCGTTGGTTCAGGCAAGTCCTGGGATGATCCATGGATCCCAATATTACCAAGCTATAGAATAGTTGGTCCTAGACAGAGGAATCCTAGGGTATCAAAGGTCAATGATTTATTCCAGCCAAATAGGAGAGAGTGGAATGTAAACCTAGTTTGGTCCATGTTTTTACCTTTTCATACCTGAAAAATCCTAGCCATAAAGCTCCCTTATTATGAGCGGGATGATAGGTTTGTGTGGTATGCAGATGAAAAGGGTAGATTCTTAGTGAGATCAGCCTACTTGTGGCAAAAAGGAAAATGGAGGAGTATTCCCATGTATTTGGAGTTGATCATGGGACTGATAAAGATCTATGGTCCACTATATGGAATTTGAAGGTCCTTCCAAAGATTAAGCATTTCCTCTTGAAGGCATACCTGAATGCTTTAGCAGCTAAGAAATCTCTATTTAGAAGAAAGATTTCTGTTAGTGCGATTTGTCCAGTGTGTAACATTAGTGATCTCTTGTTTTTCAGCTAGGAGGTGTTGGTTTGATGGGCAACTAGGTCTGATTTTTAACCCCTCAGATAATAACCCAAATTTTAAAAATTGGCTCCTTGATTGGGTCAAGTTCTGTAAATCCTTGAAGGACAAGAAAGAGGATATTTTACAGTACACTGCCAAGATGCTGTGAAACATTTGGATTATGAGAAATGATGTTCTTTTCAATAACGCTAGTGCTAATCCATTATCTGTCACTTACAGGGTTCAGGCTCAGTTGAAGGAACTTGAAAATCAGGAAGCTTCCTTATCACATCCCCAAAGGGCATTTCATCTTTTTAGATCCCCCCCCCTCCCCCGCACAAGTAAATTGGATTAAAATCAAGATTGACAGAGATTTCTCCTCTAATGGTTCTGCAACTTTTGGTTTGGTGTCCCGTGATCATCTTGGTTTTTGTCTAGCAGCAAAGTGTGACTCTCTCAGCCTTCTCATCATCCCAAGCTGAAGTGTTTAACCATCTTTGAAGGCTTATAGCTGGCAAAATCTCTTGGTTAGACTAGGAGATAATCAATCTTTAATTGGTTTGTTGACTAATTTTGAACAAGGCTGCTCTTCAGATTTGTCTTTTTCTTATTCTGGATTGCTTAAAGCTGGCTAAAATTTTAGCTGCATCCTTTTCTTTTGTTAGAAGGGATCACAATGTTCCAACCCATTAGTTAGCTAAAAGGGGATTGCTTCAGGCATGTGGGTAGGCGTGGGCAGAGTTCTTGTGGGCAGGAGATCTGGAGTCTGACTGAGTCCGGATCTCCTGCCCACATTTATCGCAACCACACATGGAGAACATCTCATCCTCTGCATAGTATTATGCAAAGGGAGATGTTCCCAATTCATGGGGGATAGTGTATTGTCGGTAGGCATGGGCAGAGTTCTTGTGGGCAGGAAATCTGGAGTCTGACTCTTGTCCTCGTTGACTTTTAAAGATGTTGTGTTTAGATTTTTCTATAGTTTCCGATCAAATGTAGTTGCTAGCAAGGTTTTTAAAATCAGACCGGATATTCCTAGGTCGAATGGTCCAATTGTCCGGTCCAAACATACAGCCCGCTTTGACAAAAAATAAATAAAAAAACAGAAAACAACCAAAATCCATTACCCGAGTTGATGGTTCAATCGCCCGAGTCAGCAATTTGCTGACCAAATCAACAGTTTTTGGCAAAAAAACAGTTTTGGTGTGAAATGGAACCAGTCACCCAGATTTCCGAACCGGATTTGAAATCACTAGTTGCTAGTGTTCTGTCTAGTTTTTTTTTTTTTTTTCCTTTCTTTCTTTTCTCTATTCAATTCTTGTTCTTGCTCTCTTTGTTTGAATAGAAAGTTGTTACTTACCAAAAAAACAAAAATTCTATTTGACTTTTGCTGATTTAAGATAGATAATCTGTTAGACAAGAGGACACCTTCAATGGGGAATGGTTTTATAAACTTACTTTCTTGACTTAAAATATAACTGGAAAAGGCCTATTTGTTATTTAGCTTGTAAATCGAAATCGCCATGTTTTTTTTGGGTTAATATAGACCTGGCAATTGGGTTGGGTTGGTCAGGTTCGGGTTGGATTAAGACACTTCATGTTGATTTCTAGTCAGGATGAATTCCAGGTTGTGTTGTCAAATGCTAAATCCTAATCCTAAATGTTTGGGTTAGGATTGACTCATGGGTCAATTCGGCTCATCCCAAAAAATAACTGAACTTTTAAAAAATAAAAAGAAAATACATAAAAATACCAAAATTAAAGGAATTAACCTTAAAATTCCAAAAATAAAATAAAAAACTTGAACATTTAACAATTCAAAGAGCAAACAATAAAAAATAAATAGTAAAAAATTAAAGAGTGAAAACTTCTAAAAATGTATAAATAGTCCTAATTAGATGTGACAATCGGGTCAGTGGGTTAACCCATAACCCAACCCAATTTTTTCTGAGTTGAATCGGGTCAAGTCATTCTCAAATTCAGATAGCTAAATATGAGACCATAACCCTGTTTTTTTGGGTTGGGTTGGATCGGATTAGTAGGTTGGGTCAACTATTTATAAATTATAATACATTTACGGTTCCCCCCACTACCAAATTTCTTCAACCTTCATTAGACAACCTCCTATTTCAGCACAATTCAAATGGTTCTTCAATTTGGCTTGACTACCAATAGTTACCACTAGAGGTGTAAAGTGGGCTGTGCTGGGCCAGCATGGCATGGCCCGTGGGCGGCCCCGCACAAATTGCGGGCCGTGCCATGCTGGTCCGCAGGCCATCACAGGCCGTGCCGCCCTCCCTGGTGAAAATTTTAGGAGTCGACTTGGCACAGCCCATGGCCCAGGCCCATGCGGGCCCGTGGGCCAAGCCTTGGGACAGGTCAGGCCGTGTATCGGGCCAGAGCTATTTATTTAAAAAAAATTGACAAAAAACTTAAAATTTTAATTTTATATGAATTGTGTGTATAAAATTACTTATATATAATAATTAAATAAATTAGTATAATAAAATTAAAAAATATATATTTATTTTATTAATATATTATATACTATATATTATTATATAATTATAATTTATACAATATTATATAAATATATATAAATAATATATATGAACCGTGCCGGGCCATACTGAGCTAGGCTGCGGGCTGGGCTATGCCAGCCTATGGGCCACGGACGGCACAGCCCGCTCGATCGTACCGGGCCGGCCCGTAGACCTAAAACCCCAGGCCCAGCATACACCTAGTTACCACGGGATTGAGTAAAACAAAATAACCAACAGAGATGAATTTTGAGTTCATACCAACGTCCGAGGAAATAGGGTTGTTCATGTCGCATCTGATTCCAATAACAAACTTGGTCGGCCCGCTTGTTGACCATTAATTTGGAATTTCAAGGTTTCACCATGTGAAAATCAATTCGCATAGGGAGGCCAACTGCCAAGTGCCGAGCAGTATTAATCAATGAGTAGAAAAGGAAGAGAAGTAACGAGGCTGGATTTATTTATCGTGCTGCTAGCTTATACACTTTTTTTCAGTAAACAGCTTAAACAGTAATTGGATAAGTAACCTTGTATCAGTGTATGTCACACCATAAATCCTACATGAAAAGACAAAAAACGTTTAGGAAAATAAATTCTTTTTAGAGGAATCCTTAGATGAAATACCACTAAAGTAATTCGTATTACACAAACGGTATACAAAATGTATAGGCTAACAGTTAAAATATTCTAGATCCATAAGGAGTAATTTAATCAATCTTTAATACTTTTCTTGGTGGAGAATCGAGGATCTAAGTTGATGGGGCAAGTATTCATGTGCTCTGGTGCTCCAGCGAGCGTTTCAGGTCCATTTCAACTTGGTGAATTGCCCATTGCATACCTTCCAATTTCTGTTAAAGATAATGAATTAGCATAACTAAACAAGCTGAGAATGATCAATTTATGAGACAGAAAGTACCTTTACAATATCATGGTACTGCCTCGCAATAGTATCAAAGTGAGGATCAACACCCTGATATTCACGAAGGCGGGTAACCTGGTGCAAGATTGAAATATGAACTTTTAGATAATCAGGAAACAAAGTGCAGGTGCAGGTGGGCGGGTGCATGTGTATATCATAAAATTGAGTTTCTAAGGAACCTGAGAAAAAGACATGTCTTATTGGTTTTTTGTTCAGCATTTGTTGCTATATACAGAAAAAGTAGCATCAATTGCATCTAGGTTTACAAAAGCTTCTGCACTCTAGCTGAACACATCATTAAAAGGAATCTATAATTTAGCTGTTGGGATTGCAAGATCCGCATAACCATTTACTATGGATGCTCGCAACCTGCATGGTCGATCCATTTCATTAACAATCTAAAGTGTTTATCACCTGATTTCAGAAGGCCATTACTTGATTAATATAAAACATGTTCAAAATGAAAATGTAAAAATAAAATTAAAAATAGCATATAAAACATATTCAAGCACTCAACAGGCAAGGTGTATTTCAGGTTAAGAATTCAAGACCCTGACATGGACTTGTTTGGGCATGGAACTAATATATAAATTAAGGTTTTCAATGAGCACACTACAAATCTTTCAACAATAAATAAACATTATGGATGGAACTGAATATATAAATTAAGGTTTGCTGATAAAAAAAAAAAGACTTGTTTGAACTTGCCTCAAGGGGCTTAGTTGGGGGCCCAGGGGTGTAGCCTCTAGCCCAGCCACCATGCTTAAAAGACACAAAAAAAGCGCAAAATTTAACAAAGGCGCACACTGCACACCTGGACCGAGGCGCAAGGTGCACTAGGCACGCACCCTTCTAAAGGGGCTGCACCTGGCCTAGGTGAGGTGCAGGCCCTAAAATGCACCTCACTTGTGCACCTAGGCACACCTTTAAACCGCTAAGTAGCATCCCAAAAGGGAATAGCAGTTTTTAACACCCAGCACTGCCAATTGTCAACTCTCAGTAAAATATCCCTTTCTAACATGACAAAAAGCAGAATCCTTCACTTCCTGTTTTATATGTCAAAGTTTTACTAATTATCAATGCAACCCAAATCAAATGGATAGGTATAAATGGCTGATGTAGATAAAGAAACTTTAAAGTGGAGTATATATAAATCTGCCTTTTTTTTTATCAGCATATCTATAAAGCTGCCCTGAAATTGAATTATCTAAAATTGTAACAAACTGAACAACAGTAGAGATTTACTGTGACATAAAACATTCCGAGGGATCATACCACTTTACTGTATGCAATGGAAGCTTCTTTTGTAGCCTCTAGAAGATATTTCCTGCAAATAAGAGCCTAGTTTATCAAACCCCCTCTTCAGACTAAGTATTATCATATTGATAAGCAGCCACCATTAAGTACCTAATCTTATGGAGGGCTGGTATTGAATCTTGAGTATAAGTATCCCGCAGGATAAGATGCTCCAGAGCCCTGAGACCATGTTCATTCAAATTAGAATCTATTAAAATGGTTCCATGCATATAATCAAATTTGAATAACAGATAAAAGCAATATGTTTTTTTTTTCATTTTATACTAGTATTAGATTTAATATATAATTATGGTAACAATAGAAAGAAAGAGGAAAACATGCAATATTCTAGCCGGGAGAATAAGAGGCCTGATATTGAATCTTGAGGAGACTCTATCCAAGCCAGCTTTCTTGCTGTTGAAAGAGACTCTGAGTACAATAGGATGGCCTTCTAATTCAGATTCCAGTCCTTGGAGACTAGTTCATTTTCCTAATGATATCCATGAGATCACAAATTCCTTGAATTGTTCTTTTAGATGGATTCCTCATGAGCTGAATTGTTTGGCAGATGCCTTAGCTAAACCTGGGGTGGACAGGGTCATTTTGCATAGTACAAATTTTATGCCTTCATAGTTCCTGGGTGTTTTTGCTTTTCGTATTTGATCGTACATCCCCCCCCCCTCTTTGCCTTGCATGAAAGTTACTTTTTACCAAAAAACAAACAAAAAACGAATTCTGTGCATATGTGTTGGAAGAAACTTTCAATCGCATAAAATTATCCCAGACATCCTCAAGTTTGGCATGAGTTGAGAAAGTTTTAAACAGTATGAATGGTGAAAAACAACTCAATTTAATGTTAATACATCAAAAGTAAGAACAGACCTCAATTTCGCATTCATTGTCTCACACATTTTGCAAAGCCTTGTTTTTCTTAGTTCATCCTGTTCAGTAAATGAAAAAGAAGAATAAATTAAAGTTTACATATTTAAATAAAACACCCAAAAATAAATAATATATATTCAAGATGTGGTGAATAAGTAGTAAAGAACTAAAGATAAATCCGAAATTGTCATCTTTCCAGAGAGGGCATTGGGTAAGAAATAAGTATCCATTAAAAATTGATTCAAAAGTTGAGAACTCACATATTGATGTTGGTGTTGCAGCTTCAAATCTTTGACAAGCTTAATAAGCACTGCAAGTATCTGTTCCAGGACCTAACGTGGATATATTTATAGGTAAAATATCAGTAACAGCAAATGCCAGCAGCAAGCCAAAGCAGAAGTTCAAAAATGCCAACTGTGTGTTGCACATTGATTTTACAATCCCTGTCACCATATGCACCTGCACAGCTGCACGAGAGAGAGAGAGAGAGAGAGAGAGAGAGAGAGAGAGAGAGAGAGAGAGAGAGAGAGAGAGAGAGAGAGAGAGAGAG